ATGACTATAATATCTATTGCGTAAATGTATATTCTTAATGTATTACTGTATTATACTTCAGAAACATATTTTTCAATTGTAATCTACAAAAACTACCAAAATTCTGCTTTGTAACTAATGCAACACGATTGTCTTCTTTTGTGGTGTTTCTTCTAGATAGATTTTATTAATTTGTTCCATGAAAAAAGTTATTTTAGATCTAATTTTAATTCTTTGTTTGTTTGTTTATTTTTTGAACTTTGAAACTTTCATGGTAAATACTTAACATTTGTTATTCAAGTATGGATTGGATTGTTGGTTGTGTGTTGGTGGTTTGTTTTACAGCATTATTAAAAACTAACTTGTTAACTACAAAGTTTACAAAATGAGAAATTTTGTCTGGTAATATACGAGAGAGAGAAAAAAATTATCTTTTTTGTTCTAAAACATTTCTTTGTCCCGGACACATATTAGACTTGTCGAGAATTTCAGTATACACCAAATTTTATGAACTAAAAATAACATCTAGCCAGTGGCGCACACAAGGGGGTCCTGGGGGTCCGGACCCCCCAAAGCCCTTGATTTTTTTCCGATTGATTATAATTCTAAGTACATAGTACGTAAAATTTAATTAAGTATTTGTTATTAATGATTAATTTTATTAATTAATGTGCTAATTATTTATTCAATAATTAGTTTTTTACTGTGTTTTGTTCCCGAAAATCGACAAATTCAAAAGGAGCATGATACAAGAATGGTGAACTTTCGACCCTGGACCCCCCTTGAAAAATTCCTGTGTGCGCCACTGCATCTAGCTATCGATAGACACGCAAGAGTTAATTTCTTTCATATTGTTTGTTATGATGTGCCTAGCTTTATTTCTTATCAAAGATTTTATATTCCAGTTAAAAGTTTGTTTCAATGTTTTTTTTTCATTAGGTTTAAATTTGAACGGCAGACTTTGTTTTGTAATTTTTGTACACGCCATCACAATTTGATATTCTAAGTGTTCAATTTAATCGCACTGTCACAATCATTTCAAATCACAAGCTCATAAAAATGTAAATTGCAACTTTAAATTACGCAACTAATCTTTTTCGGTGCATTTTGTTGATTAATAATTGCTTTGTTTCTCAGCGAATTTTTCCCAACATTTATCCATAAAAAAAGCAAAAGAAACCAGTCAAGCGAAACAATTTTTCAGTTCTACGCTTCACTGTTTCAAAGGTTTTCTGGTAATAATACAGTAGCGGCGCCTATTGTGATGTTTAATTCGCAGTCAGTCGAGAAAATAGCGATTCTATTCTGAAGAATAAGATTTCAATTCCTGGACTGGGGGAAAAGGAAATGAACGTTACAAAATCTTTATTTTATTTGTTCTCATCCAGAAAGTCATGATTGTTTGGAATGAAACTTGATTCCTCCCTTTCGAAACGCAGTAACCTAGCAGTTGAATATGCATTAACTACATTTTCGTGGAAATATGCGATTGGCTTTCTTTGAAGTTTGGGTAGGATGAGTTGGGGTCGAGTGACGTGTGGGTGGAGATATTCCCCGTAAAAAAAATTTCCCTGTCTCATCCATGGCGCCATCATTTCAGCATGGGAATGTTAAAGATAGCTCACACAGTCTCATCGATATTTAGAAGATGAATTTTAGCTGCTTTATTTTTCTCCATTGAGATGCACACAAAAATTTCATCCCCCCTTTTTTTTTGCTGTAGTAATAGATCTTCCAGTAGCATCTGAGACTTTAATTACAGCTTGGAACAGTAAATTACAGAGAAATAGGTTTTCGGTATTGACTTTGATGTAAATTTAATTTTGTTTCATTTAAATATAGTAGAAGTTAATCTCAGCGAATCGGAAGAAGAAAATTGATGAAGTTGATATTTTTTTTTTTACTTGATTTTACATGACACATTTCCATTTCCTCTCTCTCTTTCTTCGTCTGTCACCCTTCTTATTTTTTATTTATCTATCCAGCTTCAACATTTGTATTAATTCTTGAAAGAGCGCCTTTTGCTCCTAATTGCGTTTATCATATGCTTTTTTAGCATATGATATGTTTATCATATGTTTCTTTTGTATACTTTTAAATGATAATGCCGCTTTTTATTTTTGTTACACTATTCTAGTATTTCTTAAAAACTTTTAATTTAATGCAAAATATAGAGTTGGAAGGAAAATAAGGGGCTTATATAGGAGAAACATTTGAAGGAGCATGCTTAACCCTGTCGCTGCGTAGTTATTTTATCAAAGTAGGTTCAAAAATTGCGTATTTTCTATCAGCTCTTACGTAATAATGTTTAAGTGATACTTCATGTACAGAATTAAAAAATATAACTTTCTATATTTAAGAACAGTGCAATAGTTTTTCTTTTATTTGAGGTTTTTTTTTTTTGCATTTCTAAAAGTTAATATAGTTTTTGTTTTAGCAAAATTAAGAGGGTCTAACATTTGGAAGAAAAATTCAAAAGTAGGTTTCTTTTATAACCCTCTGGCTGCGCATTCCGCGATTTCCAAGGGTATGCATTTTTTCCGACTATTTAGCTGTGCAACCTGTGCTGTTTCTGTTTTGCTTTCATTTACGTTTT